CCCCCCCCTCCAATTCATGGCGTAAGAGCTGAATAGTTTACCGGTTTGGATTAATATTTTTGACGATTCATTTCAAGTTAAAACGGCTATGACTTTTGACATTTCATCCTCATTTCAACTAAATTAAATAAAAAACAGTTTGGAGTAGAAATGAATTTTTGTAAGTACCGGTGGTGTAAGGTGCATGATCCTATATATTAATCTTCAAATAAAAAAATAAAAAAAAAAAAATCTTCTTTTCACATACATATTTTAGAACTTACCGGCATAGGTGGTGACGACGAGCTCGTAGTCATGGCCGAGCTTGACATCAGCGAGCTCGACGAGGTCTTGGTTGTGATTGTCGCCTTCAAGAGAAACAGGTAGGAATTCAAAATATCCCATGGTTGGAATAAGCGTATAAGCAACTTCAGTGGGATTGCACATCGGGTTAAGATTTAGCCCGAAATAACACTCTGACGAAGCATACATAGTGCAGGCCAGCGGGAGGCCGTCTCCATAAAAATCTAAGGTCGGAATATATTGTGCCATGGTGCCCGTCACGATAACGTCTATGTATTTGGTGTTTGGCCAAAGCCTCCGAATAATCCCCTTCCATGACTCCTTGCTACACTCCGCCTCGATGTGATCCGCCAGCACCGGATCGGGCCGGAGAATTCTCCCCACTGCGGCCCGAACCGCCCGATCCGTCACCTCTTCGTCTATTGTCCCTTTACGCATATCCCTGCACATCCTCGGCCAATGCTTCTCCAGGAATTTGATTGCGCGGATTAAGCCGGAGGCGAAAACAGCCCCCACGCGCATCACCTCCGCGTTCTGTGTCAACCCGCATAGTAACTGTGCGTACATGCTTTGGTAGGAATCCGAGCAGAGTATTGCCTCCGTTGGGCTTGTGTACACGTTGTACGGGTCGGGTTCCCGTTTGACGAAATGCCGGCTTTTATAATAGCTAGTCAGAACAGGGCGGGCCAGAAGCCCGCCCGGCGTTCGGGCTTCTGATTTTACAAACAGAAGGTACATTCCCTTCCCGGCGTTCAAATTGGGGACGAATTGAGACATGACGGGCATGAGGAGGCTGTAGAGGAAGGAGCGGCGGTCGAGCTCATCGTCTATGGTGGGCATGAGCTTGCGCTCCCCTCCAGAAGTGCCGGAGCTTGTTAGAAATTCGCTGATGGGACGCCCGGCGAGGATGGGGGAGGTGTCACCGTGGGCGATGCGGAGGATATCAGGCTGGATATCGCTGTATGAAACGATGGGTAAGATGCGGCGGAAGGCATCCGGGTCGCCGGCGGAGGTGCCGGTGAGGCCGTGGCGGTGGAGGTATTCGGCGGCAGAGTTTTGCGTGAGGATTTCGGCGAGGACGCGCCGCTGAAATTTATCGGGGTTGTTGGTTACGTCCTCGATGAAGGCGAGGAGGCGGCGGTGCTCTTCAGGGGAACTGGTGGTGGGGGCTTCTGGCATGGTTGTTTTGGTGGTTTGGATCGAAGAAGATGCAGAAGTGCAGAAAGGTTTATGCTTTTTTATTGTGGGGGAAGGAGTGCGGGGGGTTGGCAACAATATATAGGAGTCGAGGCTGGGGACTCTCTCATTCTTCTGAGGGCTTTGCATTTATTTTTCAGAATTATTTTATTTTTTTCTTAAATCGCCTGCAGTAGTAGGGATTGATCAGTTCAAAATTTTTATCTCTTAAGCCGTCAACCCAAACCTGGATGGATTAACTAACAAATAATAAAGTTGATGGGGGCTCCAAAAAAAAAATTATATTTTTTCACTTACTCAACGTGCATTCAATAATACATCATAAGGAATCATAATATATACTTTTAATATAATCATATGGTTCTTTTATATTTAGGGATATTCATATAAAAAATTTTTTTTTTTATGAATTTAACATCAAGATGATTTTTTTAAAAAAAATTTATCAAACTTACATATTTGCAGGCAACGCGATTAAATTATTTAGAATTTCATAAAAAAAACAAAAAAATAATACATCCAAAAATATACAATAATTTTATATGAAAATATACTCTAGAAACATTTACATTGATTTTATATGAAAATATAAAAGCCTCAGATCCAATATAGTCTTCAAACTAAATAATGATGCTTAGTTAAAGATAGTGCATAAATATTTATGGTCGAGGTTTTCTGAGTAAAGTTTGATTAGAATTAATTTATAATCATCAGATTTATTTTTAAAATAAGTGCTGCAATAAAAAATTTAACGATTAGTCATCCGCTGCACTGATAAAATCACAAATCCCATAATTCCAAAATCAATCCTTGACCAAATGTTAATTATGATATTCTAACCTAAGTTTCTCCTGCAAAGGAAATGTGAGCCCTAACTACATATATTAATTTATGTGCATGAAATTTATGAACGACATGACAAAGTTCAATTAGCAATCACTTAATAAAATTTATAGATTGTGCATGTGTGCATTATGAGAATTTCTTTAAAAAAAAAGGTAATTTGCTTCAATATATAAATATTTTTAATAATCTCTCGTGCATTATGAAGGCAGACAATTGACCATTGATGTCTCCGTTTGTTAAAGGAACTGATAATAACAGGATAATATTCTTTACATGTGGGCCAACTCTTTCAAGTGATTATAGAATTTAGAGGGGGGCATGATTAAAGAAAGGGGAAGGGGCCGGAGACTGATAATTATGCACAATGAGATCCAATATACTGATCATCAGCTCCCGTTTTCTTTTTCTTTGGCATTTTTTTTTAAGGCTGGCTTAGTGCGTGCCACGCTCTTTGAATGAACTCTCTATTTCTTTTCTCCTTTAATTTTTTATCATTTTAATTATTGATCTGAAGATGAGTTATATATAGAGTTGAAAGGCTGAAGATGACTTGAATCCAAAAATTAAGAAACAAGATAAAAGTTCAACGCTGATTGATTTGGAATAATAGTTACACTTTGGAGTGGATTATAGCTAGCTAATGTTGTCCTTTTGTTGTAAAGCCAGCGCACTTTGGCAGCAAAAGAGATAATGTTTACAGTATACTATATATGCAATGGATTATCAATCTTCATTTGGTTGACACTAATCCGACATGCATTATCTGTTTTTTGTATTTAGTTGATTTTTTTTTAAGGTTTTGTCTAATCCAATTGTCTCTTATTATATACAAATAATCCATTTAACTAATTTAAACTCGCTAAAATAAATTAAGATAGACTAATCCATAAGAAAACTAAGTCGTAGAAGCTGTCCATAGGTATGGATGATTATTATTATTTTTTTATCTAATCAAAAAAGTGGGTAATAGAGACAAAAGATGCTCTCTAAAACATAAATATTAATGCTAGTGATCGTGCAGTTGTTTGAGAATCTATTGAGACTTTATTCTAAACATTAACCAACAAATTAAATATATTACTATCTCATAGCTCTGGCATTATGTATATATATAAATATAGTGTGTTAGATTCCAATACAAGTGTTTATCATGAAATATAATAAATATCGGATGATTTTAACAGCTGAAATATATGAGTTATAATCAAGATTCTATACATCATCTGATCATTTTCATAAATATATTTGAGATGCCGGATTGATGATTAGTCAAGTTATTTTGAAAATTGATAAATTAAATTGACAACACCAATTCACATGTTGTAGATGAAGATCAATAGTTTAATCTTTATTTTGAACATTTAATTTGATGAAAAGTTAAAATAGTTAGAAGAATAATCATTCTCTATCCTCTGCTTAATTCACAATTGTAATCTTGAATTCGATCAAGGCATACTGAATTCATGTTTTAAATTAATTAAATTTCAAATATTCTTCAGTCAAATTAATCAAAGAACTTATTGCAAATTAATAAATTTTATTTGTGTATAGAAATTGGTGGGTAGATTGGAGAAATAATTAAATGAGAATGATACTGAAAACACTGCCTTTCGAGCTCTTTTGGTTTGCAGTGGACAGATATAGGGCCTCCCTACAATAATGCCAACATCAATAAATGTAGAAATGATAAAGATGTCACATACCAATTTTAATGAGGCACACCACGTGGGCATTGTTCTCATAGTTGATCATATGATCTTCTTCCATTTTTCAAAATCAAGCTTGAAGTCTTTTTAACTTTTTGTCACTTCATTTCCTTATAAGATATTAGAAACAAAAGGCAATTTGAATGAAAGTTACATCAATACTCACAATGACCACTAATGCAATACCATCACAACTCAGCAATGCCTTCCTTATCTTTCTTTTTCATTATTTTATTTTATTTTTTAACATATGCATCATACCAACAATAAATATGTGCATTAATTTGTAGCTAATATGCAAGGTATAACATTTTGCATGTATGTATGTATATGTATATGTGTATGTGTGTGTGTCTCCATATGAGATAAAAATAAATATTCATGTTCATTGGCTTCCTTGTATAAAAGCACATGTAGCTGGCACATTGTAGGAAAATTTTAATTTCAAAATATCGTTGACTAATGAGCTTGCAGATAAATGGCAGCCAACAAAAAAAAAATGCCACATGATAATCTTTTTAAATTATGCACAAACTTCGGACATGTATAAGTGTAATTTATTTATGGATTTCAACTATCATGCCCAGCTTTGGAATGGGTAATGTTTTTTTGTATTAGATTACGCCATCATGACATTTTTATATGTTAAAAAAAACTTATTGCTGCCCTGCATGAGTTTATCAAATTTATATATAAGAGCATTGTCTGTGATCACTATGTTAGGGAAGAAAGTTCTGCATAAAATATTGTGCTAAATGTTTACAACATAAACTAATGTGTTGGATATCTGATTGTCTTTTGTGAACAAATCTCGAGAGTAGAGAGAATGAGAGAATAAAGTTAACCAAGAGTTACTGTAGAGAGAACAAGGGGATGGTCCCCTTGTTCGTATTTTTCCCTCCTATTTATAGGATTGTATTTTGTACAAGTACAGAAAGAAGAGAACAGTTTCGAAATCTGTTCTTAATATGATCAATGCTCTAATAAGTTGTAAGGATTTCATTCTATATATGTATTACAATTTGAATTTTGATATGACGATAATTTGTTAATTGACTTATTAGAATTCAGTCGACTGAGGTGATCGAATGGGTGGTAACTGTGCCTTGTGTTTAGTCAACCTAGGCGTTTGGTCAAATGGAGATGTCGTCTATCTTGGCAAAAGTAGGTTAGTTATCTAATCATGATCAGGGAGTTTCTCTCAGCGCTTCGGTCGATCGGTTGGTCGACTTATGAGTCGATTTGTTTTGTCAAGTGAATCACGACTTACTTGTCGCTTTGGCGCAAGTCTTATAGAGCCTACTCTTCGTTTACCTGGTTAGTTTGTTGTCTCAGTCGAATGCACCTATTTGCAAGCCCTTGAGTTGATTTTGTAGTTGCCTATGTGAGTTATCCAATGAGACTTACTACTAGAACGAATTACGCCTAGCCTTTGGTGGATCTTGTTGCTATTAGATAAGGATCCATCTTCAGAAATTTGACATGTCCTGGGTTTAGAGGCCTGGCTTCACCTATTTGGTGATGACTTGTCAATCTATTGTTTACCATTGGGGAAAGCTTTTTATTTTATTTTTTTTTGTCAGTTTTGTTTGAATTTCTTTCTGGTATCTTTTCGTTGGACAATTGGTTCCTAAATCTTGCATCATAACATTCATTGATCAGAAAAACCATATCGGGTTCTTTGTCGGACACTGACACCTAGAGGACGGCCTTACTGGTCTCGATACCCCCTCTCTCTAGATTTGGATGTCAAGAGGTTCATGGTCAACGCTTGAAAGTGCTCGCAAACAATTGTTTATAGAGTTCCATATTTATTTCTCTGTTGACTGGGAACTTTGTGGTACATGGTTGCGGGAGTTATTGCCCGGTGACTATTCATGAACGTCCTACCAAAGATAGCATTGTGTTGTTATATTGCTTTCCAGGCTCTCTCCAAGAGATGGCGAGAGCAACAAGGCCTTACGCCTCCTTTCTTTCCCCAGAGAATTCGAACAAAGAGCCGACCGCTGTTGTTAACTGTTTGGCCTTTAGATCGATCTTATCGAGCACCAACTTGAAAAGGATATTCATCAAACTTCTTGTATCAATGAGAATAATGCCCACCTGGTAGTTTGTTGATTAACACTATGATGACAATCACTTCATTGTAAGGGTTCCCCTTCAATGAGAGATATGCATCTATAAGGATAATGGGTAAGTCGTTAAGTGTGTACCGGAAGACAGATCATACCTCCCTTGAACGTTGTCTCTTTAGATTGGAGGGTCGGGATCCTCCCCGAAAGATGGCAGGGATTATCCTTGGTATGTGGACCTCGTTCTCTCTGACAGGCCTGCTAAAGTGATCTCATGCTGGTGCTTTTCCCTGTCGTTGTATATGTGCACCGACCATTATAAATTCTTTAAGCTTTACGGCATTGATAAGTTCCTTAA